GAGAGAGAGAGAGAGAGAGAGAGAGAGAGAGAGACGGGAAGAGGAGGGAAGTGGCCACTGACCTCGATCTCCCATTTTGGATCAGTTTCTGCCGTCGTGGACTTGCCACCAACGCATGCCATCACTGGGCCCAGCACAATCCCCAATGGGCAGCTGCTCAACAAGAGAGAGAGAGAGAGAGAGAGAGAGAGAGAGAGAGAGAGAGAGAGAGAGAGAGAGAGAGAGAGAGAGCTTCGCAAACTTATGTTACAACGGCTGCTTCAGGGAACAACGAGCGACGCTTCGCAACAACGAACAAACACGGGCGTTTCGAGCGAAAGAGACCGACATGTGCTGCACCGACAGCACTAAACGACACAGGCGCCGCTTTCGAAACAGACCAAGGGGCGCTGCAGCCACGGCACCGAATGGCAGCAGACTCGGTGGGAAACTGTGCCACTCGCGCTCGGACAACCTGTTGAAACTGAAAAACACGCACTGCCATCTTGGCTGTCTGACCGTACCGTACCGACAGCCTGGATTTGGACGCGGGCTCCCGATCTCAAGTCCGCAACGGCCCAGATTTCAGTTTTGTTACAATCTCCCGACGATCCGGCCTGTGGACAGGTAGGACTGTGGCGGCCCGGATTTCAGATTTGTGATGCTAGCAATTTTAATAGTGTAGGGACATTTGGTGTTGTTGTCGGATTCAGCTATGTCATGTTGGAGGGAGTCTTCTGCAGTTGCGTGCTACCCCTATGGATAAACCTCCCAATTGCAGCAAGCATTTGCAATGAACACTGTGTTCCTGCAGGATTGTGTAGAAATGTATGAATAGTATTTAATAAATTAATATTCATTTTTTATTTGAACTTGAAAGGGGGTAGCCCCTAACCTCGTTGCTTCCAACAGGATTCAAACACTGGATCTGTTTACTAAAAGTTAGTAGCATCTGTGTACCAGTCAGCCATCAGCACCAGGTATCATGTTTCCTCTATGTCCTGGAGTGCTTACCTTTGCCCCTTACAAACATGCGATCGGAGCGAGTTAACAATCTCTTTTGAATTATGTTATGGCACCTGGTTGTTCTTTTTGCAAGTAGGTTTTTGTTGCGCTTCTACGTCATTGCCAGGCCGAGAGCCGAGTCCTGGTTAAGCAAGCATTGGACATTCTTATGCCTGCGCTTCCAAAGCGGTTGCCTCCTGGAGAATCAAAAGTACCAAATTGGATCCGGTATACAAAGAAGATTTTGCTGGAAGAGGGGCACTCGCTTCCACATCTGATCCATATCTTCCAGCTTCTAGTACGCCACTCAGATTTGTTCTATGCGAGCCGTGCACAGTTTGTGCCACAGATGGTTAACTCCCTGAGCAGGCTTGGGCTTCCATCAAATAGCCCACCAGAGAGCCGGAAACTAGCAATCGATCTTGCAGGTCTTGTGGTCGAGTGGGAGAGAAAGCGACAGGATGAAGCACGTGCAAGAGCAGAGGCAAGGGCTGCCCTTGAAGCTGCTGCAGGAGATTTTGGTAATCAAGCAGCTGTGGCATTTGGTAGCGTTATCACTGCAGGCGAGGTCAGTGAAGGGAGCAATCTTCCAGATGGCTCGGGTTTTGGAGGTGGCGGTGCTATGAGTGAGGGAGGAGGAATGGGTGGGATGGGCATGGGGGTGGTGGGGAAAAGGACAGCTTCAACAGCTGGTATGCCAGATGAGATGGCAAAGCGGCAGAAGATGGAGGTGGGAACACCTCCATCCATGGCGGGTGCTGTTCCGACACCAGGGATGATGGGCATGGCTAGCAGTGCAGTAGGAATGCCGATTTCATCTTCTGAAGTGTCGTCGGCAAACGGAGTTGGAGTAGCAGCTGGAATTGGGAGAGCGGTTGTCTCAACGGCCGGAACAGTGCCTGGATTGGTGGGGAATCCTGGCAATCAGACTAGCATGAGACCTGTGACCACGGTTGGTGGGAGTGTCGGAAGTACCACGAGCATGGTATTGAGCCCAGAGGAGGAATTCCGTCCAAATTCAGCCATGGAGGAAATGATCATCAACTTCTTAATGCGGGTAAGTATGCATAAGATGCTGTCACGAACGTGGACGGTTCCCACTGACGATGTTGCAAGTTAGATTGCGTGCTAGGTTTTGACTTCCATCATGTAAAATGTTGTCGGGAACGTGCACGGATTGTCACTGATGATGTTGTGAGTTTGATTGCCTTTTAGGTTTTATCGTCCGTCATGTAAAACTGTTTGCAAATGGGATGACATTTTGACAGTTTGCCTCTGTTTTGCTTAGGCTTCGTAGACAGAGGACAGGATTTGGGAAAAGAGTAGTCGATCTCATGACATGACAACCTAAGGATGTGACTTGGTTGTTATCCATGGGTGGATAATAGAACACTGCACTTACAACAGTCTAGCTTATGTTGGGCTCTCAGGCACCATGCCCGCAAGTGGCTGGGCACGCATTCCAACATAGAGGCTAGATATGCTTTCACTAAAGGGCAGCTAAATTTGTGGTGAAATAAAGCAAATGAAAAAGTGCCGAGTATGGCACTCAATCTGCATGCCTGATCAGTCTCCAGACATGATCCTGTGCCTATCTTCATCCTTTTCTTCTTTTGCACTGAATCTCTGTGGATCAATAGAGAGGATTAACGGTACTTTTTCAGATGCTTGATCACGTCTTCAGCAGTATCGCATCGACAGTTATATCTATATCCCTGTCAACTATCAGTCATGACAATAGTAGTTTGGTGACTAGCATTCTTGCTTTCTGTGAACGGGGAGGATGGGACTGACTAGAGGAAGGTTATCAATCTTGGTAGCACCAATGGGGCCCCTCCTTGGGGGAAACCTGGTTAGAGAAATCAATCTTTGTAGGCATAAGCACTTTGTCGGGTCCCGAACATGTATGCTCGTGATTCCAGCGGGATCTGAATTTCAATTTGTTTATCAGAAGGTGACATCCGTGTACCACTATGTAGCCACTGGGCAAGTATTTCTTCACTTCTCACTTCTCTGTGGAACTGGTTGGGTGCTGGACAGGCTAAAGAATCAGTGCGAAGCCTTGCCATTCATGATTTCTTTGAACGAGGAGGATGGGGCCCTCCTTGGGGGAAGCCTATGCATAAGCCCCTTGTCGGGTCCCGAACATGTATGCAGTACTATGCACGTGATTCCAGCAGGATTTGAATTTCAATTTACTTATCAGAAGGTGACATGCGCGTACCACTATGGAGCCACTGGGCAAGTATTCCTTCCCTTCTCGGTTCTCTGTGGAATTGGTTGGGTGCTGGACAGGCCAAAGAATCAGTGCCAATCCTTGCCACTGGCTCCTCCCTGGTCCACCCTATTCCTCCACCTTCAGTGGTAAACATAAATCACAGAAAACATGCATGACTTAGTCCTTCAGAGGAAACCACAAGGCTGAGCTGACCCCAAGTGGTAGGTGCGGTGAAGGCGCCCTTTTTCTCCGTTCTTTTTTTTTAGTGTTTTGGTTCTTCTATCACATCTCTTTGTGAGAGTAGGGCCACAGATTGCTGCTTGTGTTTCATCTTATATTGCGATTTCCTTGACGGTGGACAAAGCATGTGGCAGTTGCGTGCCTGGTGGCAGGTAAGAGTTGCAGGCGCATATGGGTCCCATCTCTTTCTCAGAGTATTGCCACAGTTCGCTGCTTGTGTTTCTTATTCTCTCCCTGACGTCTTTGACATAGCATAAAGCATGTACCAGTTGTGGGGCTGGTGGCATATGTTCTCCTGCATAATCTTCATGATCTCCCTTCTTTTTGTGTTTTTTTTGTGAGAGTTCCCTGAAACACAAGCCACAAGGGGCATGCACCGTCATGATCCGATGAAACGGATCGAGGCTGTGAGATAGTGCCAATGGGCAGTTGTTTTTCTGTTCTTTTAGCTTTTTCCCTCTTTTGTGCTCTCTTTTTTCAAGTTCTGTTTCTGTTTTTGAAGATGCCGAAAGTCGCCAACCATTTTTGAAAGCAATCTAACATCTCCTTCCCGTAACCAGCAAATGTTGATGAATGTCTACTAAACAAGTGGTCCAGAAAATTGATGTGCACATGTGGGTGTGCTTCTTCTACCCCACCAGGTTGCTAGTCGCCTCTCTCATGATGTGTGTTTCCACTTCCTCTTGTGACCAATTGGTGCTTTCTTAGTCAGTAGATGGCACAACTACTGCACTCTTGTCCTCATTCTTCCAGCTCGACATTCGCATTTGCCCTTCAGACCGGTGGATGGTGTTTTCTTCTCCACATGGAGCTGAACACCGGCCGCATAGCCCTAGTGGATTTATCCACCACATCGTCCTACGAGGTAGGCACCCCCGAATTAGTGCTGATTGGGCGGACAGTGATACTCAATCGGTCATGACCCACATCAGGAACGCAACATCCGACCACGAAATTGCGTTGGCTATTCTATACCGGAAAGCTTTTGTGTCGGCTTCGTTATCCTCACCAGGTTCAGCATCGTCTCCCCTACCAAAAAGGCTCAGCGAGGTCGGTCGCTTCAGGAGGGTTTCGTCGTTGCTTTTCCACGCACAAGGCACTACCACGACGCGACTTTCTTCATTCCAATCGGGATACAGAGATTGGAGATCAGCACGTTGAAGGTTGGTCACCAGAAAACTGGTTTCTTTCGGCTGGCCAGAGAGTCGTGACCAACACCTAGAGAATATGCCGATGAGGGCGCACCACTTCGTGTGTCCTCTTACGCACGGCGCACCATAACCAAATAGTTGCTTCGCCAATGAAGGATTACGTGCAACAGAATGAATCAAAGAACTAAACACGTTTCCAATACCTACAGCGGCTCCAGCTATTGCGATTGTTGCACAGCCCGCTCCAATTAATTTTGCACCTTCTAACATAGCCATCTTCTTTTTGTTTGTATCAAAACAAAGATCATTTATCGTTGATTACCCAAATCGCCGATTTTGTCAAAATCAATGTGGCAGAGGCTCACCAACACTTCCTTCATTCGTGCCTTTGCCAATCCTCAGAAGCGATGGTATGATATTATACGCGACGTTTCTTAGGAGGACGACATCTGTTATGTGGCGTTGGAGTTACATCACTAATCTTGGTTATTATAAGACTTCCTAATTGAAACCACAATAAATAATAGTAAATAACTCTTACTCAAATGAAATGAATACTATCGATTGAGGCGAAGTGGTGCAGTCTGCGACATATAAATGCATCACTGGTGTCTCAAAATCAATCGAACAAGCTCACAAGTTGCCTTGGTTTCAATGCCTGTAGCCTTCGTGTCGCCACGAAGTTCAAAAGCAGGGATGTTTGGCGTGTAGTCGTTGAGGGCCGCAGCGCACGTCGGCCCTTTGGCCCTCTTCTATCCAATGTGGTACTTCATGAGGTTGAGAAATTTGTCCTCCGACTGAAGAGCATTCCCGATAGAGGGTCGTCGATAGAGAGGGCAACCGCCGCAGGTTGCGGATAAAAAGGCTCACTGCGAAGATCTGGCGGCGATCGGAGAGCAACCTTCTTCAAGTCTTCCATAGGGTTCGCCGGTTGCCGGTTTTTGTCGTTTGAAGAGCAGAAGCTCTTACGATCGCCTTGCCCCTGAGTCTTCGACGGGGAGTTTTCGTGTCAAATTTGGCTTTGTTGAGGGTAGAAGAGACGAATTTTGTCAAGTTCATTGTAGTGATTAATCTTTCTCTAGCTAGTTAGCCTACGGCCTTTGCTTTTTTCCGAGTATATTAGATTGCTTTGGCTTTGAAAGATCGATCATCAAAAGCTCCGTAAAAAAAAAGAGAATTCATAATGGCTTTGTCCACTAAAACAATTTGCTATTATTCCATTGATTCCTTTTCATATAGGAAACTTGTATCTTTCTTTTACTAATTCATCTTTGTTTATTCTACTCACTATTAGTGCAAGGAAGATGAGCAATAGCGAACCTCAGCAATCAAACAGCATCATACACATGAGACCAGGTAGTCGTGACCTCGAACCAACAGTAGAATTGCATCACGAGTTTCACCAAATAAGAGTACACCAAAAGTTCATAATTGACAACGCTGGAATAGTCTTATGATCATCAACGAAGAACCAATGTTGATATCCTATCTGGCGCTTGGCGCCCAGACTACGAATGGCAGATCCTATCTAGCCTAGACTACCGTGCCGCTGATGACATCAACAGCTTCCCAAGTACGAGCAGATCTTGGCCAATGCTGCACGCGTCAAGCACCAGGTATGTCTCTCGTATCACTCACAAGCTCGTTCCCCAACTCACAGATGCCACTTGCACCACCATGCGCCCCATCCAGCACACAGCAGCGCAGCTCGGCTATGGCTGCCTGCTCCTTCCAGCTCGCTCGTGAGCGCATGAGCGCTGGCCAGCGATAGCGCAGCAGCGCTTGCGCACAATGCAGCCAGTGCCCGAATGTTCAATGCGTGAGCAGGCCCTTCCCTATATCGAAGTGGCCTGCTGCTGCATGCTGTGCTGCGGTACTGGGCCTCGGCACAGAAGCTTCCGGTACGCCCAGGGAGGCTGAGCCTCTGCCCAAACAAATCAGGCCCAGGGCTTCTGACAGTTACCTGTGACCAATTGCTCGCAGCCTGTGTTGGGTCCATCCTGCGTATCTCGCAGGCCTTTAGGGGCGTATTGAGGTCTTGTGCCTCGCATTAGTTTAGTTTTGCTTTTATTTCATTTTGTCACCATGAATGGAGGTCATTTAGTACCCAATGCGTGGCAATCTTTTGTTGAAATCTGCGTAACACAGCGAACGTGTTCGCTCCCCTTCACGTTCGTGCGAACGGGTTCGCACGTTCGCCCGTTCCCATGAACAGCTAGCGAACATGTTCGGGCGAACATTTTTTTTTTTTCGTAAAAAAAAAGAAAAATATATATATTTCAGTTTTTGATTTTTAACTCATGATTGGTTACGAATTTGAACATGACTCCAAGGCAAAAGTTGCTTGTATTATTATTTTACATTACATATATGTTTTCCAGATTTTTCTGAGAAACTTTTTTTTTTTTTTTTATGTTCGTTTTGTTTTTTTATGTTTGCGTTCGGAGGGTTTTGGGAGCTTGTGCGCGTTCGGGCGAACATGTTCGCGTTCGCCTCCGAACACGAACACGGTGCTACGTAGGTTGAAATGATTTATGAATTCGTTCTAAACTTAGCCAATGAACAAATAAGTGGTATACCAGCAGTTAAACAACGATTTTTTCCTTTCATCTTTGTCACTTTTACTTTTTTGTTATTTTGTCATCTTATTGGCATGATGTTTGCAACTCTTTTTTATCCAACTCATTCGAATGAGATTGAACTGGCGCCGCTGCCACTTCGTGGCCTTGGACGTGTAAGAGTCGTACAAAACCCAATTGTCTCGGTGTTTCTTACCGTGAAAACCAAGCCAAGTTTGATTCTCAGGGAAGTACTTATGCTTGATTCTTTGTCGACCCCAGGTAGGGTGTCTACGAAAGACCCATATACGAAGTTGTTGAAATATCCGGAAATCCATAGGTGAAAAATTGCAGAGCATTACGAAAACTTCAAGTAGTTTCCCCAACCTGAAATCAATGGAACCAAAGCACTGATGAGTCGGTGTAGTAGCTTTTAGTTTTGTGGTTTTTGTTTTATTTAATCAAAAAACTTTTGGCGCTTTCGAGGCTACCTTTGAACCAAGAAGCGAGTCTGTTGTTTCAGAATTACAACAACTCGTGAGTTTTCAAGAGGCTCTGCTGTCAGAGTTCTTGAAACAATATGAATTACGTAGTATTAGTTTGCGTTCAAGTACGCAAATGATTGGAGAATCATGTATAAATGATATGATTACATGATGCGCACCAAATTGCAAACAAACCGTGCAAGCAGTCTTATGTCAACAAATGGAACAAAAGTTCTTTAATGATTTCACGAGCTAAATCAGTTTTACGTTTTGGGTATGAAGTTTCTTTGAAAACTTTAGACAAAGGTGCTATTTCCATTTTGGGTCCCTATGGAATGTCCACCACATTTCGAAAATTAGTGAAGCGAATAAGTGCACTTCAAAGTGGCTTTGTGTACCATTATGCTTTTGTTATGCTAATCAGGTTAACCATATTAATTACCATCATAGGTCCTTGGAACTTTATTTCATTTTGGGTAGATAATCGATTGTATTTTATTTGCTTATTGAGTTTTCTATTTATTCATCTTGAAAGAGACGTAAGAACCAACTAAAAACTTGTTGAAACCACCCAAAAAAAGCAAACACATATGTTACAAATTTGTGTTCCATTATTTGACAATCTGAGTGGTCTTATCAAGTGGCCTCTTTTAGGGGCCCTCATCGTTTTACTTATTCCTAACTCGAAAATACGGGTGATACGAAGTATTGCCTTTTGCACCGCTTTGATCACTTTTTTATACTCTCTGTTGTTTTGGATACAATTTGAGAATTCTACAGCTAAATTCCAATTTGTTGAAACAATACGGTGGCTTCCTTACTCAAATATCAATTTTTATATAGGTCTAGATGGGATTTCTTTATTCTTTGTTGTGTTGACTACGTTCTTAATACCTATTTGCATGTTAGTAGGTTGATCTAGTATTCAAAATTACAAGAAAGAGTACATGATAGCTTTTTGAGTTCTGGAAGCTTTCATGATTGCTGTTTTTTGCATGCTAGATCTTCTACTTTTTATGTGTTCTTTGAAAGTGTTTTAATCCCTATGTTTATTATTATAGGGGTATGGGGTTTTAGACACAGAAAAAATACGAGCAGCATATCAGTTTTTCTTATATACTTTACTTGGATCCGTTTTCATGCTTTTAGCTATTTTATTGATTTTGTTTCAAACGGGAACCACTGATTTACAAATCTTATTAACAACAGAAATTAGTGAACGGCGTCAAATATTGCTATGGATTGCTTTTTTTGCATCTTTTGCACTGAAACTACCTATGGTACCAGTTCATATTTGGTTACCTGAAGCTCATGTAGAAGCAACCACCGCTGGATCTGTTATCTTAGTGGGAATTCTCTTAAAATTGGGAACTTATGGTTTTAAGATTTTCAATACCAATGTTTTGAGAAGCTACTCTTTATTTCACTCCTTTCATTTATACTGAACCCATCAATTGGCTTGAATTGTGTTGGGGGATCTGTGTCTGCCCAGATGCTTGCGATGGATGTCTATGTTACTTCGTCGTTCGATTTGATGTGTGTCCAATCCAATCGTCTGAATTGATGTTCAGAAGCTACTCTGCTGGCATGGTTATCAGAATTGTGGAGCATCGTGGTTGAATCATGTTGAAGTTGTCCTAGGATGGCCAATTTCTTTTGTTAACAAATGCTGCGTTCTTCTCTGTCTTTTTGGGTGCGGTGATGGCAACGTACTCAGGTCGCTTTTGTCACAGAGCAAAAGGATAAGGAAATGCAGCAGTTATATAAACATACTCTTGAGCTTCTTGGTGAGGCGCTCGAGGTTTGGCCAAATGTGCAGGTCAAATTCAACTACTTGGAGAAGGTAAGCAGCTTGGAGTTATAATTACAAAAAAAGTCAAATTTAACTACTTGGACAAGGTAAGCAGCTTGGAGCTATTATTACAACAAGTGGACCCGCTGCAGCTACGCTGCGGGAGAGGAGAGGGAGGAAGAAGGGGGCGGGGCCGTTGTCGTTACAGTGCTCGTTTTTTTTTTATTAATATTTTTTTTTTGTCGTCATATTCGCTATGCACGCAAAAAAATCTCTCTCTCTCTCTCTCTCTCTCTCTCTCTCTCTCTCTCTCTCTCTCTCTCTCTCTCTCTCTCTCTCTCTCTCATCCCATCGACGGAAGTAGCCTCTCTCTATCTGTCTGCGTGCATGGCTGGAAAACTCTCTCTCTCTCTCTCTCTCTCTCTCTCTCTCTCTC